CATGCCCAGCTAATTTTTTGTAGTTTTTTTTAGTAGAGACGGGGTTTCACCATGTTGACCAGGATGGTCTCGATCTCTTGACCTCGTGATCCACCTGCCTCGGCCTCCCACAGTGCTGGGATTCGAACAGATGCTTAAGCCACTTATCCATATTATGTTTCTTCTTTTTCTTTTTAAACTATTTTTATATATTTCTAATTTTTTTTTGTAGAGATGCAGTCTTGCTATGGTTATTTGTTTGTTTTCTGTTCTCACAGTCTGTTCTGAGAGTCTTCCCATGTTGCCCAGGCTGGACTCAAACTCTTGACCTCTGCATTTCTCCAAACTCAGCCTCCCAAAGTGCTGGGATTACAGGTACCCAGCCCCATATTCTCATTTGAAATTAAGATATTAACATTATATTATTTTTAAAAGGTAAAAAAAGGATAAAAACCAGTTTTCACTATTTTCACACTTACTATAAACAAAATATATTACCCATATCAACTACAGCAAGAACTAATTTGAGATTAAACACATACAAACATACATATACATGCCAGTTGATAAAGAGACAAAGTATATTTTCAAATTCTATAAGTTCTGGGGTACATGTGCAAACTATAATTCAAAACATATTTAGTCCCTTGAAGTCTGTGTATTTGGCAAAAAAAAATAAAAAGTACATGTATGTATATAATACATAGGTGCATATATATTTTTTCAGTTGGGTAAGTCTCCCTGATAAATGACATGTTCTAGAGTGTCCCTTCCACAAACTAGTAGTGAAAAGTCTATGTCACTAGTGTATTGTTTTCACAGTAGCATTTCTTCCTGTTTACTCTGATGAGACTGTCACCACCACTAGGAGCTCCAGTTATATAAAACCTCAACTTTTCCAACTATACACCGAATTTCTACTCTAGGATTTCACTTGAGGGGTTGGGGGCAGAATGGTCCCAGAGGCAAACACATGACTTCCTTTCTAAGTTAATAAGGCTTGTGACCCACTTCATAGGGGCACAAAGTTAAGAATTTGGCATTTAAAAAGTAAATTTGGTTTCAGATGGCTCTATTTTTATCTTCCTCCTATCCACACTCATTTGCACATTTTTATAAACATTGAGGGAATCTGAACTTCATCCTGAACAATAAGGTTAAAGGGTTAAGAGTATATAAAGATTCGAGGAAATAGTAAGATTTTCTTCATTTGCCCAGAGAAACAAGTAAGTATGGTACTTAAGGCTTCCATTTAGTAAAGGGTGTTTTCCCAATTTAATGACGTCTAACCAGAACAATCAAGGAACTATCAGAAAAATGGGGAAACTATACTGGATTTAAGTTCTAAAATTTTAATAACAGAAAAGCAAAAACATGGCTTCATGTTGCATCAAAGGGAATGACAGATACTCTTTTCTTCCTACAAGACAATCAGTATGTGAGAGTTAAAAAAACAAAACAAACAAACAAACAAAAAACAACAAACCTCCAAGTATAACTTAAAAGCCCTGCCCTGACAGTTTTTGATTTTATATAAAGAGAAAATAAAATATTCTAATAGGAATTCATCTTGTCAACATTAAAAGGAATGAAAAAAAAAATCTTGTTTGACATTATTTACCATACTACACAGACAACTAATACAAAAACTAAAGTAAAAAACAAAACAATCCTTATGAAACTTTATCCTAACGTCTAATTAGAATATGAACATAACTGGAAATGAGTCATATAGGAGGACATCAATCAGTATAAATAAAGTTTACAATTAAACAGAAATACTCCAAATAGAAACACTCATCACATATATATGGAAAGCTACACTATGATTTCTTTGTAAGATTCCAAATATCCAATGAGTTTTTCTCCTTAGAGAAAATTCCTATGTTTTTTAATGTTGTCAAGAGAAAAAAAATTTCCAACCTTCATTCCAAGACATTTCTTCAAGATATACTTGAGCATCTACTGGTCCTATACTTCTTAGGTCATCTTCTGTAAAACATAAAACATGACAATTATAAAACATGATATTTAACTGTAATCATGAAGAATGCTAAAAAGACAAACCCAGCCTGGTCACTACAATTCTAACTTACTTATCACTTACTGGAACCAACCCAAATGCCCATCAATGATAGGCTGGACAGGGAAAATGTGGCACATATACACCATGGAACACTATGCAACCATAAAAAATGACGAGTTTGTGTCCTTTGTAGGGACATGGATGAATCTGGAAACCATCATTCTCAGCAAACTGACATAAGAACAGAAAATCAAACACTGCATATTCTCACTCATAGGCAGGTGTTGAACAATGAAAACACATGGACACGGAAGGGAGCATCACACACTGGGGTCTGTTGGTGGGGGCTAGGGGAGCGGCAGCAGGGTGTGGAGACGTTGGAGAGAGAGAACATGTGGAGAAATGCCAGATATAGGTGACGGGGGGGATGGAGGCAGCAAAGCACCTTGCCACGTATGTACCTATGCAACAATCCTGCATGATCTGCACATGTAACCCAGAACCTAAAGTATAATTAAAGAAAAAGAAAAAAAAACTCACTTAGTACACCGACAGCAATAGTACTCTTGACAGCAGTGTTAAAGCAACCTGACTTCAGCTGACTGAAAAATCTAGAGCATAGCATTTCTTATAAATTTTAAGTCAAAATCAATCCCATTTTTCACAACCGTGCACGAAGTTAATTTTGATGATTCTCTGCAACCTACTAGTGACCTCTATTTTGTAAGCAATAGGGCAATGTTTTTTGTGTGTTTGTTTTTTGTCAGATATTATGTAACTAAGAAAGCAGTGTGGAGTTGGATAAAAATAACTATTGAACCTTAGTTGCAATATGTTACTAACTTTCTAACAGTAGGTGTATCAGTTTGTTCATCTCTAAAACAGTAGCTATGTCTTCCTTATCTGCTTCAGGAGGGTTGCTGTTGACTGAATTGTGTCCCCCTCAAATTCATATGTTGAAGCCCTAGCCCATAATTTGACTGTTCTTTTTTTTTAATGTGTGTGTGTGTGTGTGTGTGTGTGTGTGTGTAATTATACTTTAAGTTCTGGGATATATGTGCAAAACATGCAGGTTTGTTACATAGGTATGCACGTGCCATGGTGGTTTGCTGTACCCATCAACCCATCATCTAGGTATTTCCCCTAATGCTATCTTGCCCTAAACCCCTCACTGCTTGACAGGCCCCAGTGTGTGATGTTCCCCTTCCTATGTCCATGTGTTCTCATTGTTCAACTCCCACTTATGAGAGAGAACATATGGTGTTTGGTTTTCTGTTTTTGTGTTAGTTTTCTGAGAATGATGGTTTCCAGCTTAATCCATGTCCCTGCAAAGGACACGAACTCATCCTTTTTTATGGTTGCACAGTATTCCATGGTGTATATGTGCCACATTTTCTTTATCTAGTCTATCACTGATGGGCATTTGGGTTGATTCCAAGTCTTTGCTATTATGAACAGTGCTGCAGTAAACATATGTATGCATGTGTCTTTACAGTAGAATGATTTATAATCCTTTGGGTATATACCCAGGAATGCGATTGCTTGGTCAAATGGTATTTCTGATTCTAGGTGGTTGAGGAATTGTCACACTGTCTTCCACAATGGCTGAACTAATTTACATTCCCAACAACACTGTAAAAGCATTCCTATTTCTCCACATCCTCTCCAGCATCTGATGTTTCCTGACTTTTTAATGATCGCCATTCTATCTGGTGTGAGATGGTATCTCATTGTGGTTTTGATACGGCATTTCTCTAATTTGACTGTTCTTGGCTTTTAGGAGGTAATTAAGGTTAAATGGAGTCATAAAAGTGGGGTTCTAATCAAATAGGACTAGTGGCCTTAAAGGAAAGGAAGAGACACCAATCTCTTTACACAGGCACCCATACACAGAGGAAGGCCATATGAAGGCACAGCAAGGAGGAGGCTGTCTGCAAGCCAGGAAAAGAGCCCTCATCAGAAACTGAGTCAACCAGCACCTTGATCTTGGACTTGCTAGCCTCCAGAACCATGAGAATTAAATTTTGTTTAAGCCACCCAGTCTATGGTATTTTGTTATGGCAGCTGAGGCAGACTAACAAAAAGGTGTTCTTCATATCAAATGGGAACACACTAAAAGTGCTTTAAAAAATAAAGCTCTATGCAAATGTAAAAGGCTATTACTCATTTTTACATTTGATTGTTTGCAAGAGATTAAGTAACTTAAGGTAGTAATTATTTCAGTATTTCAGTAACCCTACAACACAAATGTATTGTGTTGATGTTCCATTGCTGTTTCCTGGACCTAAGTTTTAGCTGCAGATAGAAGGTCCAAGGAAGCCTGGAATTCCACCTAAATCTGTAACAGGAGCATCTACTCTGTTGCTTAAACCAAATGTTCTTTGGGTCAAAGACGGCAACCAAAGATGGGAAGCATTTGTCTTTGTTTTTAAAGGCATGTTATATTTCCTGTATACTTGTATTGTTTTTCTAGAAGTAAATAATTTTTAAGGGGAAAACAAAAAACAAACAAAAAAACCCTACTAAAATCCAGTCCCCACCCCAATAAAATTTCCTTTAGCTGTCTTACTAGTCTCTTGTTCACCTGCTGAGAATGCTTCCCTTTGTTCTGTGATGTGAATGCCCGAAATTTAATTATATTTAATAACTGCCTGTTCAAAATTTATTAGTGAGTTACATAATTTTAAAGTAGATAAAAAGGTTATACAATATTTTGAACTCACCATGGTTTTCTATTAAAGTATATCAGATATTATACCAGTTCATATTTATTGGTCACCAGTAAGTAATCTATTTGACTGTCCTTAAGATCCAAAGATAAGGATTTGGCCCAGTGGTCAGAGATCCTTCCTCCATCTCTGTATGTCTACTGGATAGCTTATGCACAATCTATCTGTATGCTAAGTAATTTCTGAACAAAACAATTTAATTTCCACATTCTATGTAAAGTATAGTAGGCTATATGCTATTCAGATATTCCTAATTTTAAAAAATTCTATCTAAAATTCTCATGAATGGGGACAAAAATCTTAATCACATTTTAACTTGTTACTCAGAAGGAACAGCGTTGTTTGCTAGCATTGGAAGATTAAACACTGTTTCAGATTTAAGGAATGGGGGTAATAATTGACACTTAAATCCTATTTAGGGGAAAAACAGGTATAATAAATTTATAATGGAGTTGCCTATATTCCAGGGTATCTTATAGATATTTTAAGAATTTTGAAATCAATCAAAGCAAATCAGACAAGGCAGAAATAATGACAAGATGAATCAGCTTTCTTAATCTTACCTATCTTGAACACCTGTAATATATTAATTGTACAAAAAGACAAGCTATTCAAATAGATCCATGATGCCATTTTTATTTAAAAATAATAAATTAGAAATTACTTGCAAATATAACTGCCAATCTACTGGGAAACTGTTGTTATTCTCACATAGTTACTATTTCATGTGAAACCATTCCTATTATTCCACCTACTCAAAAAGTGGCTTTCACAGTTTTATTACTATTTTTTCTTCATCTCTATGCATAGGAACTTTAGAGTAGCTACCTATTTCTTGGTTAAAAGATTAGCTTAGACCATATCTCATGGTAAATAGGAAAAGAGAATACACAAAAAGGGTTAGTACCTTGCCCGAGGTCAGAGTTACAAGGAGTATATTAAAATATTTTCATATTCTGTGGCTATCTAAATATCTGTATGTTGACCTGATTATTCAATACCATGGGCACAAACAGTCCAAGTTCTTTTAGGGATTCTGGTTTTAAAAAACTAGTATCAGATGAAAAAGGTAACATACCATATGATTTCCGTTACATCAGATGTAACTGGCAAAACTACCCCATGATGTTGGGGGAAATGGGGAGTCAGTGGTAACTGGAAAAAGTCATAAAAGGCCTTCTGGGTTGGGCACCATGGCTCATGCCTGTAATCCCAACACTTTGGGAGGTCGAGGTGGGTGGATCACCTGAGGTCGGGAGTTTGAGACCAGCCTGACCAATATGGTGAAACCCTATCTCTAATAAAAATACAAAAATTAGCCAGGCTTGGTGGCATGCACCTGTAGTCCCAGCTACTTGGGAGGCTGAGGCAGGAGAAGTGCTTGAACCCAGGAGGTGGGGGTTGCAGTGAGCCAAGATCCTGCCACCGCACTCTAGCCTGGGTGACAGAGCAAGACTCTATCTAAAAAACAAACAAACAAAAAAACACAGGCTTTCTGGTTAAACGGGTGTGTTCACTGTGAAAATCCATCAAGCTACGCACTTAGATTTATGCACTTCTCTGTATGGATTATATTTTTTCAAGTTTTAAAGGTAGTGTGTTGAGACTCTATTTATGGCTACATTTTAAATTGAAATAAAATAAAAGGAGAAAAAGAATAGACTGATAAAGTGAGTATTCTTTGAAAGGATGGTAATCTAACAGTTTCCGAAAAAGGCTAGGGGTGATTAACTCAGGGGAAAATTGGAACCCTGGAGAACTGTATAATGAGCAGACGTGGTACACACAAGTAAAAGGTGAATCTAAATGTGGGCGGTGGGGGGTGACCAAGATCCTTTGTTGAGAGGCAGGTGTCCAGGAATGGGGCAACAGCAAATTCCCTCTCCTCAAACCCCACTACAATTACAAAGAAGGAGCACAAACAAATCAGTGTTTTTTTTTCTTTTTAAACAATGATCCCTGCTTGTCTACCATTGTGGTTATAATTAAAAAACTTAATTCTTCCCATCCTCTAAAGTAACTTACAGGAAACTATAATTAGCTTTAATAATTGTCTACTAATCAGGCATGGCATTTTCAAAACAAATTAGTATCCTTTTGTAGTATTACATATTATAAATATTTTTCTCTCGTAATAAAACATTTTAATAGGTATCTAGAAAGGTAAATCCTATCTCTTAAAATTCCCCTATTAACATGACACTACTAAAAGCATTGGGAAAACATAAACTGATTTA